ATATAGTTTTTAATTTTGCTTTTCTAAATAGTGTTTGAGTTTTAACCCATGTGTAAGACATGCTAGACAAGAGCTCTCCCACTTAACTACACTTCCAGTAACCAAAAATACATATGTTTTTAAATATTTTATTTATTATTTTTATTTTATGTGTATGAGTGTATTGCGTGCATGTGTGTAAGTGCACCTATGTTGTACAGTGCCTATGCAGGTCAGAAGAGGACGTCAAATCCCCTGAAATTGGAGTTACAGATGGTTGATAGCCACTATGTGGGTGCTGGAAATTCAACCTAGGTCCTCTGCAAAGCAGCCAGTGCTCCCAACCACTGAGCCATCTCTCCAGCCCCAGATTCTGTTTGTTTTTTTTTTATATTAAGGATTTTATTTTTATTTGTAATTATGGGTAAATATGTGTGGGTCTGTGTGGAAGTTTGTGCACATAAGTGCAGTATCCACAAAGGCCAGAAGAGAGTATTGCATTCCCTGGAGTTGGATTTATGGGTAGCTGTGAGCCACTGGAGTTGGGAGCTAGAAACCAAAATCATGTTCTTTGCAACAGCACTAAGCACTCTTAACTGCTGAGTCATCTCTCCAGCCCCACAAAACACATTTAATGCCTTGTATGGTCTCTTTGAATACTAATTCTCTCATAAAATAAGAGATAAAAGAGGCTGAAAAGATACACAGAAACAGGAATTACCTAAAACACATTCATAAGTTAGTCGACTTTAACAGAAAATACATATGAAAATGATTTGAGAATTGAGTGCACTCTCCATGTAGCTGAAGTGATACATTTTCTTCAAACTGAAAAGGACTGATTCGAATATACATCATTAGAATCATTTGGAAATTTTAGCTTTGGGCTACGACTCTGGAGTAGAGTTTTTGATTAACATGTTTGAAGCTCTAGGTACCCAGTTTGAAAATTATTGATTTAGCTGGAAAAAAAACCAAACATACAAACTTGGCTGAAAGGGAAGTGACTGACTAAAGGTCATGGAAAAGTAAATGGCAATATGGCAGAATTGAAAATGGAGATTGAGAATTGACAGGGTTTGTGTTCAAGACTATGTCCATCACTTTTTATTGTGTGGCTTGCATTAATATAACTCTTAGCCAGTTTGTGCATAAAACTGAGGGGAAAATGATTGTCCCCTATCTTTATACCCTTTTGAAAATCAAATTAGACAAAGAGTATTAAGTGCTTTGTGTATTATACAGTGACGTAAAAAGAAATACCCTCATTCTCAGAAAGCAAAGGAAAAACTTCATAGAAGGAAGACCCATAATAAGATCATGATGTTTGATCCATTCTTTGCTAACTAACGGTTACCCATAAATGATAGAGAAACCTTGGTTACAGTCATCAAACTGTTGAACTGTGATTCCATACATTCTCAATACTTCCCATATCATAAATTATAAGGCTGTCACAGACTATCGATTCTCAAAGTTTTTTCTTCTCCCATACAGACAAATTTCAGTATTCAATTTTTCTTCTCAATCTTTTTTTCTCCAGCTTATCATAATCCTTGCACCAATCCACACCAGACTGCATTTATTCCATCAGGTGATTGTTTAACATCACAGCTACGCTTGCCTCTACTCTTTGCTTAATCATCAACATATCTCCAGTACGATCATTGCCCTAACCCTATCAGAGTTCTTGAAATTCAGACTGCTCTTGGGATTTTGAGCTCTTTTCCTGGCCTTTTTATGTCTGAGGCCTAAAAGAGTACAAAATTAGTAATAATTTGTAGTCCCCAAGTCCGAACACAAACTCTGATTGACCAAATACATTTTGAAATGTTATAATACTGGATAGTAGATACTATTTTGTATCTGTATTACATCTTAAAATGTTCTAGTTTTCAAAATCGAAATGTCTTTGTATTGACCTGACAGGTTAGAAATTGCACGTTTACATGTCTGACTATGAGTACAATTTAGACTTGTCAGTGGAGACAGGATGCATAAACTGAGGGAATTTTTATGGAAGAAAATTATAGGAAACTGGTAGGGTAATTAATTTTGGTTAATATTTATCTCAACTTATCTAAACATGATTTACATTAATGATTTGTCTATCTAAAATTTAAAAAGAAGGTATAACATAAAGTAAAAAAGAAAAAAGCAACAGTGGAAAAATGAGGAGAAAAAGAAAAGAGGAGGAAAAGAAATATAGAAGAGGGTCAAGAAAGCTAGATTAACTCCTATTTTATCTAGCTTCATTAAATGACCTATGACCACTGGCTTCCAGGTAAGTGAGCCAGAACTGACTAGCAAATGTGGCCATACACCCTGGGAACAGAATACGCAGAAGACACTTATACAGAACTATTTTCACAGGGTGAACTGTCTAGATGATAAAACCTCAGAAGTCCTATCATCATAGATATCCCTGAAGTTGGTACCCCACACTAAAAGTTAAATTTAGTTTTCATGGAGGTAAATGGAACAGCAAATCCTATTATAGGCAGCTTCATATCAAATAGGGAGCCCTTACCAACCAGCACCAAAATTACAAAAAAGAAATCTTGGGGATGGAGTGGTCTTGACCATCATCCAGTTCAGCCAATTCCCATCACCCAAGTACAAAAAAGATACATGGTGACTTATTAAATGGCCTATATTTTCTTTGAAAATATGATATTTTATATTATTTTAAACTAGTCTGTTTATAGTTTATAAGGATAAGGTAACTTTCTCAAACTAAAAACTAGTATAATTAAGCAATGATCTTATATTCTTTGATCTAGAAATCAAGATTTTCCTCATAATCTTTCTTTCAACTTGAAGTCTAGTAAGAGAGAAGAAACTATCTCCCATGGATTGTAATCACCAGCTAATCAAGCAACTGCTATACTGTATAGACCCCAGGACATCTGTTTCCTTACTACCCTAAATAACAGTGAATGTGGTCCTTTTAAAATCACCTTGCTTTAGAACAAGAACTGTAACTGGAACTAACTGAAATGTTTTAATGCTTTTAGTTTAACATTACAAATTATTCATTTTAAACTCATACTAGATATAGCAAGTTGGCCTTGACACGCTCTTCAATTTGAAAGCTCCCCCTAAATAGAGTAATACACTTTGGCCAGGGTTACTCTAGAATCCAAGAAGATTGTTTAAACAGACCCAAAATGCATAGAAAGAAATAAGATGCCAATTATCTCACCCAAGTCTTGACCATGGGCTCTTTTATTTCCTTGTACATATAGGAGAGAAAAGCCATCATAGATCTGGACTGTTCCCTGTGGGCATTGTGGTGCGTCTGTTGTCTGGCTGTGGCGTGTGATGAGGAATCCATGGGCAACAGAGGTGGATCCAGGGGGACCTGGAGGTCCTTGCAACCCATCTGGTCCTGGGGGACCATCCAAACCACGGGTACCTATTTCCATGAAATCATTAGTGTACAAGATTAAGTAAACTCTGAGCCACCATTGTGGCTATTGATAAAACTTAATGACCTCATTTGATTAATCTATTCAATATTTATAGAGTGTCTATAAAAGTACTGTCAGATATAATGGACAGCGAGACAAATAAGACACAGTCCTTGATCACAAAGAAATTTAAAAACATTTATTTATTCCTGGCATTGGCTGAAGACATTAGGCACTAAAATTTTAGGTGAACAAAACTTCAGGTGGGACGAAGTGATGCTTACAGGGAGCCTGTATGTTATCTATTCTCTTGCTATGGGAGTTTGAACCTAATAATCAAATTTCAACCAGTTGTTCAGTTCATTAGCAGGAAAGGAAAGATGTAGTTTCCATAGTTCTGCCAGTTTCAGTGCTGAAAAACATTTTCTTAGCAATACATCTGGAGAATTGTTCTGAAAGATACCTTGCTTAAAAAATAGGCAACACATTCATTTTTTTATGTGGATGAGTGTTTTGCCTGCATGTACGGAAGTACACCCAGGTGTACAATGCCCACAGAGGCCAGAAGAAGGCGTTGGATGCCCTAGGACTGCAGTTATGTGCATGCTGGTAACCAAACCTGGATCCTCTGCAACAGCAGCCCATGCTCTCAAACTTGGAACCATCTCTCAAGTCCCCAGCAACACATTCTTAAGAAACTTTCAAAATGACTATTCTTTTAATGTAACACTGGATCCCCTTTCCATGAGACCATTTAAAAGTTCTTATATACAGGCCTTTATCCACTACGTGTGTTGATTTTCACTTTTGGGAGACTTCACAGCAGTGCCTGTGATGAAGATGACACTAATTCATTTATTCTCAACAAATACAAAGTTATTGAATTGGCAGAATGTTGGCACTAGGAGGACCCATATGTATCATTACCTTGCTTTGTTGACACTGATATTTTTGCTAATAGAATTTTTTTAAGTTTATATTAGTTAGAAGTACATTTATATTATCTGGTGTTACTAACATTAAAAATCTATTGAGTTTATGACCTTCTATTTTTATTTGGGGAATCATACATTACTGTATTTGTATTACAATTTTAATAAAACTCTTTTTGAACATAGGTTGGCTTCATATAGGAATTTAGGAAGATGGGGCTCAGCACTCAGGAAACTGAGGCAAGGGGATTGCCATGAATTTGAGACCAGGCTAGGCTACATAGTGAGAACTGACTCAAGAAACAAAACAAATAAAGACATGAATTTAATAGATACCAAAATTGGTATTATCAAGAGTATTTATTAATGACAGACTTTAAAAATGTACACATCAATATACTATCTCATTATGAGATGATACTGTGACATCTAAAGTGATCACTTAAAATTTTCAGCAAAAGTTATGGGGGAAATTTCATTATGTAATATTTCGAAATGAAGAAGGATTAAAAAATAGTCCTAAGGTAGTCAAGGGACTTAAACAACACACTGAGAATTATCTGAATAGAGGTAGGGATGTGTCTTAATGGTAGATTGGTTGCCCAGCATGATCAAGTGCTGGTTTTAAGCCCCAGCTACAATACAATAAAATATAAATAGCTGAACAAGTACACAGTGTGATGACCTGGGGGAATATCTGGGTTTTCTGGTGCTCTACACACAAAGAAAAGTAACCTTTCTATACTTATCTGCTATGGCAAATCTCTTTGGATATGCCTTCTTATTTCTTGCCAGCTTGACTGTCCAGACAGCTGTGTCTCTCCAGAAGTTATATCTCCAACCACAGTCCTATATCAAGAAGCCTCATAAATTTAAACAGTATCACCACCACATTGCTTTAGCCATCTTACCTGGTTGGCCTGGTAGACCTGGGTCACCTTTGCGCCCTCCTGCACCATCAAAGCCAGGGAGTCCATTGCGTCCTGGATCTCCAGGAGGGCCAATTGGACCTACAGGAAAAGAAAGGATGTTTTGAAATGTGGGTAGATTAAGTCCACTTGCAGACAGAGCTAGGAAACTTAAGGTTTTGAAGCAATGGCTTCACGATTTGTTTTCCTATTAAATCCACATAAATGAAAGAATAGCTCAGACCCAAAATAAAAAGCATAGACAAGACATTTAGTTTAAAGATTCTAGTTGTGTCTGCCATCACGTTGGCTATATTCTCTTTACCTTCAGAATCAGATAGGAAATCAGGACCCAAATCTGCGTTAGCTATCACACTATAGGGCTAATTATGCCAGGCATATTTAATTTATAGAAAGACTACTATTTACTCAATAAGGAGACAAGGAGAGAAGTGACTTTTAGCTTTTCAAAGAAATATATAATCAATGCTGGGTATGGTAGCCCATGCCTTTACTCTCAGCACTTGGGAGGCAATGGCAGGCAGACATCAGGGAGACAGCGTCTTAACAAAAACCCCTCCATCATATATATATATATATATATATATATATATATACACACACACACATATATATACATGTATATATATGATGTATATATAATCATTTGACATATTCCCTCCATGATACTAGGACAAGGAACTTCCTCTTGCACACTCTGGTTAGAACTTGCCCTTCCCTAACAATCATCATAGTGACAGTTTTAGGTGTGAGTTCCCACCTGGCTCACTGGATGAGACTGCAATTACCCCAAACCTCCAAATAAAAATAAATCAAAAGTAGAAAGCCAAGCACAGACCAACTAATCATACCTGATTAGAAATCAACAAAGCTATGATAGCAGTAAAAACAGAACCAAATTTTTACTCAACAAAGGCAGGCTATAATTTCATATCAAACAAACATGCAACCAAAAGAAGTCCATATGCCTTAGTCACAATGCAAAAGTACAAATAATGTGAAAAACCAAGATAATATTTTCCTACCAAATCCCATCAGTAATGTTAGAAGTATTCTATAGTAAGAACTACTGAGAGAAACCCCAGGACACAGAACTTAAAATAGCAATCATAAACATGATCAAAAATAGACCCGTAGATCAATAAAACAAATTTGAAGACCTAAATATGAGTACATCCAATTTCAGCCACCTAATATTTGACAAAAGGGGCAAGAACATTAATGGAAGGAAAGACAGCATGTTCAGCGAATGGTGCTGGAAAAACTGGATCTCCACCTGTAGAGGAATGAAATTAGACCCTTATCTTTCACCTTGCACAAAAGTCAACTCCAAATGGATCAAAGACCTCAATGTGAAACTTGAAACTCTGAATCTGTTCAAAGAAAACATTGGCAAAAACTGACAAGATACAGGTGTAGGAAGGGTTTTCTAAACCAGACATCAGTTGCTCAGGAATTAAGGTCAATAATCAACAAGTGGGACCTCCTTAAACTAAAAAGCTTCTGTACATCAAAAGAAGCAACCAAGGAAGTGAAGAGAAAACCCACATAGGGGGAGAAAATCTTCACCAGCAACACATCTGACAGAGATTTAACACCCAGAATATATAAAGAACTCAAAAAACAAAGAATCAAGAAAGCAAGTAACCCAATTAAGAGATGGGCTAAGGAGCTGAGCAGAGAGTTCTCAAAAGAAGAGATAAAGATGGCTAAGAAACATTTTTAAAAGTGTTCAGCATCATTAGTAATTAGGGAAATGCAAATTAAAACCATCTTAAGATTTCACCTTACCCCAGTCAGACTAGGTGAGATCAAGAGAACAAATGATACCAAAGGTTGGAGAGGATTTGGGGAAAGGGAACACTCATCCACTGTTGGTGGGATTGCAAACTTGTGCAACCCCTGCAGTGTAAAGAACTCTTCAAAAACTAAAAATGAACCTACCATTTGACTTGGTTATATCACTTTTGGCATATAACCAAAGGACTAGTCCTATTGCAGAGACACTTGTACATTCATGTTTGTTGCTGTTCTTTTCACAATAGCTAAGGATGGAAGAAACCTAAGTATACCTCAAATGACAAGTGGACAATGAAAATGTGGCACATTTACACAATGGAGTTCTACTCAGCAGTAAAGAAAGATGAAATAATGAAATCTGCAGGTAAATGAATGGATCTAGAAACTGTTACACTAAATGAAGTAACACAGACTTAGAAAAACAAACGATATATGTTCTCCCTCATATGTGGATCCCAGCACCAAATCCTTATATAAGAGTGAATATATATCCAGATGTAACTGTGGGAACCAGGATAATGAAAAGGAGCCAGAGAGGTAAAGGAAAAGAAAGAACCTGAGAGAAGAACAGTAGGAAACAGGTGTTACTAAAGGAGGAATGGATAAAAATGGGGTTATTTAAATGGGAGGGGGAAGAGAGGGTTATACAAGAAACCTTGTGGATAAAGGGAAAGAAGGAGCTCAAGAGAGGTGGCACCATAGGAGACTGGTATTATCAAGGCAAAAATGGCAAAAATGGGGATATTTTAATTTTAATGGGCAAACCATGGTGGAAGGGTTGGACAGTGAGGGAGAGAGAGGAGAGATAAATAATGCATAGCTAGTTGTGGTGGTTTGAATGAAAATGTCCCTCATAGGCTCCAAGTATTTGGACATCTTGTCCCCAGTTGTTGGTGCTGTTTTGGGAGGTCTTAGAAGATTTGGTTATCCTGGAGGAAGCACATCACTGGGGGTGGGCTTAGAGAGTTCTTAAGCCTTGCTGGATCTCCAGTTGTCCTCCTGTTTCCTGTGCCTGCTTGAAGATGTGCGAGCTTAGCTTCCCTCCTGCTCTAGCAATCTCCGGCCACCATGGCTCCCTGCCATGATGGACTGTAATTCCCAAGGAACTGTAAACTCAAATAAATTCTTCCTTTTATAAGTTGCTTTGGTCAGTGTTTCTATCACAGCAACAGGAAAGTGACTAATACACAAATTTTAAAAAACCAGAAGGGATCACATTAGTCCAACAACCTAATGACAAGTTACACATACATTGTCTCTACAAAGCTTCAAGAAATTTTAAAGAACACATAAGCAAACAACTCAAGGAACTCAAAGAGAGTAGAAATAAACTCCAGACTGAAGTTCAAAAAATACAAATATACTGCTGAATGAAATGACGGTCAATTCAGGATTTGAAAAGTGAATTCACAGGAGAGGTAGAAATATTTAAGAAAAACCAAGCTGAGATGAAGATGCACTTGAGAAACTCCATAAGTCAATTAGAAAAGTCAAGAGAAATTCTTAATAACAGAACAAATAAAATGGAGAACAGCATTAATACTTAAATATAGAAAAGTTGGAGAATTGGATCACTCAACCAAAGAATATGATTTTAAAAAAAAATGGAAGAATTGAATATGCAGGAGCTGTGGGAAACCATGAAAGGATCAAATCTACAAATTATAGGCATAGAGGAAGGAAAAGAATCTCAGTTCAATGACATTGATCAGATTCTCAACAGTTTTATACAAGAAAACTTCCTTAAATTAAGGAAAGACATACCCATATAGATACAAGTGCACAGAACACCGAATTGAAAGAACAAGAAAAGACCCCACTCCACACACATACACACATAACATATCATAGTAAAAACATTAAACATACATAAAAAAGAGAGAGTACTGAAAGCTGCAAGAGAAAAATGATGTTACATAAAAAGGAAAACCCATCAGAAAAACAGCTAACTTTTCAACAAAAACTTGAAAAGCTAGAGGAGCCTGGATTCCAAGTTCTGTATTCCAAGTTCTAAATGACCACAGGTGCCAACCCAGAATTCTTTGCCCAGAAAAAATTATCATAATTGAAGAAGAAAGAAAAATCTTTCATGATATAGACTGAAGGAATTCATGTCCACAAAACCACCCCTACAGACAATAGTTAAAGTAATAAAAAAGATTGAAGAAAGGAATAATCATACCCAAGAGTCTATGGAAAGAAAACAATTGAAGCTACAATTATGTAAAAACAAAACAGGACTAAGAATGCAAAGAGAAAACAAAATTACCATAACCAGTACAGATCTTTCATTAATAACTTTAATAGCAATGACTTCAACTCTCCAATCAAAAGACATAGGCTAGTTGAATTGTGTGATGGTTTGAATGAGAGTGTCTCTCATAGGCTCCAAGTTCCCAATTGGTGGAGCTGTTTTCAGAGGTCTTAGAAGGTGTGGCCATGCTGGAAGAAGCATGTCACTGGAGGCAGGCTTACAGAGTTCTTAAGCCTTGCCAGATCTCCAGTCAGGTTTTGCTTCCTGTGCCTGACTGAAGATATTAGAGTTTAGCTTCTGCTCCTACTCCAACCTCATCTGCTGCCATGCCTCCCTGCCACGATGAACTCTTGCCCCTTTGAACTGAAAGCTAACTAAACTCTTCAATTTATAAGTGTCCTTGGTCATTGTGTTTCTATCACAGAAAGAGAAATTTAACTAATACAAATGGATTAAAAAACGAAATCCATCTTGGAAACGGCATGGAGAAACAACTAGGCATTGCTATACTAATATCAGTCAAAACAGACTTAAACTCAAATTAATCAGAAGAGATAAAGAAGGTCACTTCATACTGATCAAGGGGACAATTAATGAAGAAGACATTATAATCAAGAATACACAGGCAGCAAATTCTGGTGTACCCAATTTCATAAAAATTACTACTACACTTCAAGACACAGATTAATGTCAACTCATAACCCCACTTACTGCAATGGACAGGTCGTCTGGAAAGAATCAATAGAGAAATGTCTGAATTAATGATATACATCAAATGGATCTAAGAGACATTTATCTAAGAGACTCTTCTTCTACTCAAGCACCAAGGAATACACATCCTACTCAGTAACCCACAGAAGTCAGAAGTTTCTCTAAAATAGACCACAAAACAAACCTCAACTAATACAATGCTGATGGAGTCCACAAGAAGGTGTCAAATCCCCTGGAACTGGAGCTATGGATGGTTGTGAGCCACCATGTATGTGCTGGGATTCAAACCCAGGTCTTCTGCAAGAGTAGACAGTGCTCTTAACCACTGAGCAATCTCTCCAGCCCTCTTTTTGATTTTTTTATATAAGTTCTTAGGGCTGTAAACTTCCCTCTTATGACTGCTTTTAAAGTGTCCCAGAGGTTTTATTGTGTTTTCATTTTCATTTAGTTCCAGAAATGTTTTTATTTCCTTCTTGATTTCTTCTTTGACCCATTCATCATTCAGTAGTTTGTTGTTTAATCTCCATGGGTTCATTTATTTACTAGAACTTCTTTTGCTATTGATTTTAAGCTTTACTGCATTGGAGTGTCATAGAATACATGTAATTATTTCATTTAAATTAATATGTCCAGAGGAGCTAAAATAAAGCATTTTGGATCTAAAGGAAATTCAGGCATGAGAATTAACATTGTCTAAGAAAAAGGAAGTAAGATCTCTGGTACCCTGGTATTCTATTCATTTTTAAAACAACTATAGCCAGAGACAAATTATGACATGTGAAGAAGAGGAGTAGGGAAGTATCCTCAAATGCATAGCTTTTAAACAATGATTTACAAAAGTACCTGGTAAACCTTGAGGGCCTGGAAGTCCTGGTGGACCTTTCAATCCAGGTTGGCCAGGGATCCCCGGAGAACCAGCATCTCCTTTGATTATAATACTCTGTCCTGAAGGGCCAGGCAATCCAGGAGGACCTAAGAAGCAAAATACACAAATTTGAAGACAGGGTAGAGAAATGTCAGAAGAAATAAATACCAAAATGTTTTCAAATTACATGTATTTGTATGAGAAAAACAAGTTACAAGTATTTAACTAATACCATATCCAACAGAAGTATGTTTGGGAAAACTATGATTACTTCATACACAAGATTTAAAACTAAATATATTTTGGTGGGCCAATTGAAAAAAGTTATGAATATCATTCCTAGTTTCAAGCCTTGAGGATTACTCAATCATTAGAAAGTCTATTCCATATTAGTCCAAAAAAATTCTACGTACAATATCTCTACATGAGCCCATGTGTATAGCAGAAGGCTACATTATCAAGAAATAGTGCCAGACAGGGGAAACCTCCCTTTGAGTCATTAGCTAGGGTAGTCCAAGAGACTCCCCAAATTACACAGGCTATTGTCACAGCCCTTGCTTGCCTCCCAGAACTTGAAGGTAAGATCCTATTGCTGAAGACAAGACATACTTTGGACACAGAATTTGGAGCAATGGAGCTGGAACCGACCTGGAAACCACCTCCCATGAAGGTTAGCACTTAGAGCTCTGAAGAGCTCTATGCAAGCTGCTAAGGGAGAACATCAGTAAGTGTCCAGCTCCAGACTTAAGGCCTAATAACCACCACAACAACTGGCACCACAAACTATATTGTGGCAGCAGTGGCACTTTTATCTTGGTGGTAATTAGCAGCTACCTAATTGGACTTAAAACACACTCAATGGGAGAAAATTCATGTGTGGTACTGAAAACATAGCCAAATACATATGTTTTTCAGAGGTCATAGATCTTAGAGAATACACCGAGGCTGTCATATCCTCAGAGAAATGCAATTTCTTACTATTGCCAAATGTAGATCTTTATATTTACAGACAAGTATCACAGTCACCACTAGGCAAAGAATTTTCTTTTATAACAGATGGAGATTATTAAAGAGTTCCACAAATAGTCATCCACAGAGGTTGTGACTTGCCCAACCTGAAGTGACATATCTACAATGAAATCTGTACACCTAAGGCACATGGAACATAGTGGAACAAGGAGTTCAAAACTACTGCATCTCTAAACTCTCATCAACTAAGCTCCCTCATGCAACAGAGGGCCATGAACAAAAGGCAACAAATGGCCAAAGTATAGAGAATAGGGTTCTGCAGAGTGTGTAGGACTCCTATATTAAACTCTACCCACCAAGGGCTCAGGGGTCAGAAAGACTGTAAGAGCCACGGAAGAGGTGCATGACTAAATGGAAATAGAGTCCTACAAGCTCCTGAGAACTGTGGAATGGGCAGCAGGCCCAAATCGTACCCAAAGAGCTATTGGTAGCTGATTACTACTGGGTGAGGAAGAGCTGATCTTCTTAAAGGGAGAGACTCTAGTTAGGTAGACTAGACCTCAGTGGATGAACTTGCGCTGAGGGATGTCTGGGGACACTAACTTGACTTATAGGCCTTAACACAAATGACAGAATACATGAAATCCAGTGGGAGGGTGTGCTGTGGGAGGGTGGCAATGGGGAAGGGAGTATAAAGATGATTATGTTTTGTATGAAATACACAAAAATTCAATAAAAAATAATAAAAAGAAAGTCTAATCCACTACAAGGTTATGAGCACTGATGCCAGAGGAAAACAAATCCTGACAGGTCTGCTCTGATTTTGACATTAATTACAGTTCTTTGTTGTGCTTGTTAAGATTCTGGCTGAATTAGGAGAAATCTGCATATATCTTTAATGCTTATGGTAAACTATAGGTTTTTGGCATAAATCCCCTTAATCTAATGTAAACAATGTACATATGTCCATATACAATTTGTTCTTATTATCTTTTCAATACAATATAGGTAGATTAGTATAAAAGCTAGTAAAATCAAAAAGCTTTCTTGTTGATCTTGAGTCTACCTTATATTTAAAAGGTTGGCTATCAATATAACATCATTAAATACCGAATTTAAGAAATAATTGAGACTTTAGAGTTTGAGTGAAAGACAGAATGGACATTTTCAAAAGTCTTCAATGTCAGTATCGGATATATCTAGCCTCAGAAATAATTCTTACCTGGGGGCCCAATAAGACCCGGTTCCCCATCAGGGCCAGTTGAGCCTGGTATTCCAATGGGTCCTTTCATTCCTGTAAAGACAGAATATAACATTGCATGACAAAGCAACAGGGCTACCACCTTTACTCAGACAAATAAGAAAATAAGTACTTTCAATGGAGCTTAATATGGTCAACATTAATTAAGTTTCAGGAGATAATAGGACTAATACTAATAATAACAATCATTAGCATAATAGACATGAATTCGGGACACAGACAAATTGCTGTGGTCCCAGAGGGAGCTGGACAGAAGTAGTAGGGGTAGCTATGATCAAAATACATTGTATGCATAAAGTGTTTAAAGAGTAAATTAAACTATTATTTCAAATATAAAGAAAAACCTTAAAGTATCCTTTCAAATACCTGGGAATCCTGGAACACCAGGAAGACCAGGATCTCCTTTCATTCCATTGAGTCCAGGCCGTCCAGGATTACCCTGAATAAGTAAAATCATTAGTGTTAAGGAAAATAAAATATAGGGAGGGAGTGGAGAACGTGAATGAAGACTGAAGTATTGTATAGTGGCTTATAGCTTTGTCTTTAGAAGACACTAGGTGTGCCGGATTGCTTTATTGTCAACTTGACACACCTGGATTGAGGGAGCCTCAATTGGTGAATTTCCTCCATTGGACTGGCCTGTGGCCATGACTGTGGGACCTCATCTTGATTGTTGAATGATGTAGGAGGACCCAGCCCACTGTGGGTTGTGCCACCCCTTGGCAAGTGGGCCTGTGTTGCATAAGAAAGCAGGCTGAGCAGGGGTCAGGGGAGCAAGCCAGTAAGCAGTGTTCCTCCATGGCCTGTGCTCTAGATCCTGCCCCCAGGTTCCTGCCCTGAGTTCCTACTTTGGGCTCCCTGATGAACTGTGACCTGGGAGATATAAGCCAAATAAACCTTTTTCTCCACAAGCTGGTATTGGTCAGAGTGTTTTGTCACAGCAGTGGAGAAACAAACTGGAACACCAGGCAATGTCTTGATTGGTTTATCGAAGTTAAAGTAACAAATGAGTGTTGGATGGACAACATGGCCCTCTTTATGTACTATCAGGAAAGACACAACATCATTAATGTAGTATTCCAGCTGAGGATGAATAATCTGAATCTAATTAGAAAGAAATATCACAGAAAAAATATTCAATTTTTAAAGTGGGGTAACGCTACAATTTTTAAAATGTCAAAATCATGAAAGAAATGCTAAAATGGACATTGCTACATCAACTGCCACAATAAGATTAGAAAGGTAGAAATTAAAGGATTTAGTTCCATGTTCAGTTTTGTGACGTTAATAACTGTATTGTGATTTCATGAGAGAGAATCTTCAATCTTAGGAAACAAGTACAGAAGTATTTAATGATGAAGTGTCATGGATACAACTAGAGAGAGAGAGAGAGAGAGAGAGAGAGAGAGAGAGAGAGAGAGAGCAATGGGGCAAAATGTATCAGTAGTCTTGAATTCAGAATACATGGAGAAAGAGTCAGGTAGGGAGTAAATGGAGAATGAGTCATGAGAGGATTAAATATTTAAATCTAAGCAGCTACAAGAAGAGTGACATGGAAAAAAGGCAAATGTACCCGAGAACTTTAAGGGCCACTATTTTACAAATAATGCTTTCTACTATGTGGAAACCTTCAGAGTTAAAAGACATCCCAGAGAGTGTGGGCTGAGAATTCTACCAACAATCTGATGAATGGTGATAGTGTTGAGAGTCCATAGAGTAGTTTATGACTCTCTAGGTCATTCAAGCAAGTAAAAAGTACAGGAGTCATGTCACAGAATATATTATTATTCTCTTTATAGGTGAAGACAGAAAATGAGAGTGTTTCTTCACAGATAGAGAAAAAGCATACTGTGGAACTGAAACTTAAAACCCTGATGCTAATTACAAAGTCTAAACTATTCCCACTCACAATAATTATTTCCCTATGGGTGGGCTCATCCAAATGCAATGCCCCAATATACACGTTTCCCTTGCACAAATTTGCTTTTACTCTAATATGGCAAAGAATCTTTAATTGGGAAGATCAGGCAATTTGCCTTCTAGTTCATTCTTAATTCACCAATAATCCATGTGGGAAGTGTTTTAAGAAATGCTGCAGGTAAAAATTCTCATTTCGGATGCTATTTACCCACTCTCTCCTATCATCAAATATCTACATCCATTTCCTACCGGGAGTCCTGGTGGTCCTTGATCTCCTTTCAAACCAGGTAAGCCAGGTTGCCCAGGTGGGCCTGGGTTTCCCCTCTCTCCTTTAATACCTCCATTTCCAGGGAGACCCCGGGGACCTTCTGGACCTGGTAAACCTTGATAATGCACAACAAATAACCACATTTTAATATAACGTGTCAAGGTTTAAAGTATTAACCATCTTCATGTCAGTCTGTGGGTTAAAATACGTAGGTGCATGTTGAATAATTTCCTAAAGTACACTGTGGTTTCTTTTGTTATTCTTAATTCTGGTTTGTAGAACCTTTCAACTTACTTTTTTTTTTTGGACAGAGTCTCATGCATCTCAGGTTGTCCTCGAACTTACTATGTAATTAAGGATGTCTTTGAACTTTTGAACTTCTGGTCTACCTGCAACCTCTCAAGTGCTAGAATTATAGTTCTGCACCAATAGGTTCCTTTATGTGGTGCTGGGGATTGAACTCAGGACTTCATACATTTTAGGCACTCTACCAACTCAACATTTCCCTAGCCCCTTGCATTTTATTTTCTATTAAACCTAATAAACTCTTACCTAAAGGAAGGACTCTGGATATAATAATGTTTAATTCTGCTATCCTTGAAAAAGTGTTTGACTTAAACCAAAAGTAAGGTATTGTTCTCAAATTGGTGCATGCATACATCAGAATTACCTGGGTCACTCCTTTAGAGAGTTCCCAAGAATCTGTTTTCTAACAAGTACCTTGTAGAAGGTGAAGTTGATAATTGTGTGACCAACACTTAAAGAATGTCTGTTGTAGGGCAATCAAGAATTCAAGCCATTTCTCTTACTGTGATTACAATTAAATTACTTGAGGCTGAGGATGTAGCGCTTGGCCAGGCCTTGGGTTTGATTTCCAGCACTACAAAAAAAGCTAAATTGCTTTATTTATAAGAAGTCTCATTTATTCATCTTTTATTACTATGCAATTTTTGTGGTATTGGGGACCAAATCCATGGCCTTATGTATGCTAGGCAGGCACCTGGCTACTGAGCAGCAACTTACTATACAATTAAGACACTTAAACATACTATTTTAATTTCATCTTGTGATATGTTGGACACAGGGATTATTTTTAAATGTCAGAAATTTATTACTTCAATATAGTACTTTTTAAATTAATTTAAAAATATTTTCATGGAGTTTCACTGTTTTTTTTTTAATTTACTATGGTTTTTTAACCCATAGGCCTAAATAAAGATAGCAGATCAATTAAGCAACCAGATGATCTTATCACTGGGCAAGTCTTTTGTAGGTAGGGAGAAAATAAGTGTTACATGTTTGCAGAGTGCTCAGTGCTGAGGCTGAGACTAAATAGCCTTGTCTTTAGAAAATAATTAGAAAGCCCTAGATAATGAATAATCTATAGTTAGCAGTAATATCTTCTCTGGCAGTCTTAATTTTAAAAATAGATTTAAACTAAAAGAGAAAATATGTAGGTATAATTTTAAAGGAATCATAGAAACAACACAAAGAAATTTAGAACATTGGGCTGGTGTTTACATATGGACAAAGCATCTTCTATTCCCTTTTCTAATTATTATGACTCAGAATCAGAGGTTATACACTAATAAGACAGAATAACAAAGTGATTAAAAACACTGTATCCTGGTGTTACAACGCTGGGTTCAAATCCCAGCTTCATTAGTGATTAGCTGCTTGATCTTAACAAGATTATTAATCTCTTCAGCCTCAATTTATTTTTCTGTGAAATAGAAAAAGAATAGCATTAACTTAAAAAAAACCTGGGTTGTTTCAAAGATATGAAATAACATGTATAAATTACCTAGCTTGGTGCCTGACAAGCAGTAGAACCATGAAAATGTTATTTTTGTAATTATTATTGCTATTATCTTTATGAGTAGTAAAATTTAAGATAAGAACAGATCTTATAAGTTTGTTTTAATATTTCAGATATGTTTAAGTGATTTCATGATAATACAGCAATTATTTTTACATTTACATAACTTAAATCATATAATCACCTTAGCCTGGCAACCAGACAACACAGAAATTCCATGCTCATTTGTAAAGAAAGATATAGGCACTTTGTACTTTAAAAAAATTGCACAGCTGTTAGCTAAAATACACTAGAATAGAATTTTCTAAGTAAACATGTTTGTACTAGATAGCTTCAGTTATAAACTTGCCACACATTGGAAGAGGGACCCTCAACTGGGAAATTTACTCTATCAGTTAGATTTGAAGAATGTCAGTGAGGAATTGAAGTTACTAGAACACCACATCATTTGAAGAAAGACAATGCTTTTTTTTTCAAATCAAAGCAAATATAGGGAATTTTATGCTATTTCATACCTAGTGTTTGTAGAATCCCTCAAATTTAAATTAATGATCTAAAATGATAGTAAAGGCATTATAGTTTTATTTTACTAGTATTCAATAGTTTCTTTCTCCCTTTACAGAAAATAGCCATAAACACACAGTTTAAGGCAATTCAAGGCCAAAATAAAAAATAAGAAAAATAAAATCCACATGCAGAAATTACAAATGAATCAAATGCTTGCCTGAATAAACGTCTTTTTAAAATTTAACGTTTTATTTTATGTGTATGAGTATAGTGCCTGCATGTACGTAAGTGCACGTGTGTTGTGCAATGCCCACCGAGGTCAGAACAGGGTGTTGGCTCTGGGGTTACAAACGTTTGTGAGATACCGTGTGGGTCCTGGAAACCAAAGCAGAGTCCTCTGCAAGAGTAGCCAGTGCTCTTAACCATTTAACCATCTTTCCAGCTTCTTAAATCAATGTTTTAATGCAGTCTACAAAGTAAAACCAATTGTATATCTATGTATATATAATTATATATTAGAATCGAATCCCAGAGATCTGATATCATTTCAAACTCAATAATAAGTAAGTCATTACCTTCACTGAAATCGTTGAAACCCAAGTTGGTAGTATTAAAGGATAACATCACTCTTCAATGACTTCTAATTATAGCAAATAAGGTGCATTTCTCTTATCACATGTATAAAACATTTTTTAAAAAACAGAGAAAATTGACCAGTGAAAAGTCTAACCTTGAAAACCTGGGAAGATCAGAGTTCACCAAAGCCCAAAGATCGAAGTTAGCAGTATCAGACATCACACAGTACAAAATAAGATTATGAGTTAGAAGTGGTTCATATGAAAGAGCAAGGTAAACAATAACCCTCTTTGGCAGCATTTCTTGTATGTACAGCACAACCAGTATGTAAACAGACCCATACAGAAATATATAGAACTAAATCCTTTCAAATTGAGCTTATTCTAGAGAATAAGCTGCTATTGTTAATAAAAAAGAAACTCTGCTAAAGATACTATGTTAACACCATTACTGTTCCCTTCTAAAAGTTATGTGCTCAAAATATTAAAGTTGGCAAGACAGTACTATTTCACCAATAGCCTTCATTTCCTTTAACAGAGGTGAAACAATATTTAAACATATCTTCACCTCTGCTGTCCTTTAATAAAAACATAAGGTGAAATTTTATTTGTATGCTCACAGTGACTCATGGTGATAACAGTTAATTTTAAAAGCATCGCTGGCAAAATTTATTTTTAAATCTCTAATATAATTTGTGACTCAGTAGAAAAGTCACTGGAGTACACTTAACCAATTGTACTTCTGTTTTACTTATTCGGATATCTCTCAATGAAAACATAGTTTAATTTTTTTCATAATAAGTCAGGAGACCACCTTCTGTGCATTATAGCTTGTAATAAGTCCCAAAGGAGAAAAATTCATTGAACTTAAAGATAAAGATTCAAAATTTCCAAAGATATGAAGACTATTTGTGAAGGGGTGCTCTAATATATTCATGAAATATCCCACCCAAGCCACAGAAAGGATTACAATGACTTTTCAAAAAATTATTATTCAATGCACGTATTGTCAGGTTATTTACTATTTTAAAAAGTATCATTACATGAAAAGATAAAGGTTTACAAATAGAATACCTTTTGGTTAGTGTTAATTGAGTATAAACACAATTTCCTTTTCCTTATACATCTTCCTATGATTTATAAACACAATGTTAACAGAGAATAAATTGTGCTAGACCACTGAGGCTCAGGTGTTAAAAAAACCTTGGAATTGTTCTTGACTATACTACTTAACAACTGTACGACTTTGGGCAATCTCTCTGAACATAATAGGAAAAGGGTTATCTATCCAAACCTCCCTTACATGATTATATAATGATCAAAATCAAGTTTTAAAATATAGACCTACTGTCTGCCATGTGCACGGTGTTAAAAAAGCACAAAAATGAGTAAAACCCAAACTATGCACTTAAGGATTTAACACTAACAGCATAATATATGGTGTAAATGTTTGTATGCCACACACACACACACACACATATATTGTTGTTACTACACAGTAATAATACTTTAAAAATATTTGATAATTTGAAATTTTAAAATTTTGTCTTTTATTTATTTAGTTCCCAAACCAAATACAGCAAAATAACTCAAGACTTCTAGTTTGGTCATGCAATTAATTTAGTAGATTAGAATTGCAACTTAGTATAATTCATTGTCAGCAAAGATATTTTATATGTATACTTGATATAGATTAACCCAATAAGAAGAAGAGGCAGGCGGATCTCTGTGAGTTCAAGGCCAGCCTGGTCTACACAGTGAGTTCCAGGACAGCTGGGGCTACAGGGAGACCCTGCCCCAAAAAGACAAAAAAAAGATATTTTATCCATATGTAACATCTTAATGGGTCAGCAGCACAGGAAACTTTGGACTACATCATAGCAAATCTTCTAGGACTTTAATTTCTAAAAGGCTACATACATTTTAATGAGTTATATGCCAAGTCAATTTTATGTATGAGGCTCTCAATCCATTATTTTTTGAATTTTCTAACAAATTTTAACTGAAAAACAAAACAAAAACCTACAGTCTTATACATAAGTGGTGATTACTAATAATAAATTAATGAGTCAACTGCTGTTTTTAATTCAATTTCCACTTGCCGTTGCTATCTTCACCTGTTGTAAACACCATAGAGACCAGATTCCAGTAACTAAAATATATAGAGCATGTTGGTAAATGGAAAGCTGTTGAAATTGGTTTTAAAGTAATGTGACTATTTTTCCTTTTCCTTTTCAAATACATTCTAATGTTTCAGAACAAAAAAGAAATTCCCTAGCTGGAAGTCCAGCCTAGCAGTGATCAAGGCAGAATTCTATGCAACTTGGCAGTAGTCAAAATTATTTCCTAGTACATTCAAATCTTTTTATCTTGTTGATAGTTAAATCACATGTACTCTATTCACCTACTTGATGACATCCATTTAGAAAGAATGTAAGACGTTATTAGGGACTGATGGATATTTGAGGTAACCAAAAGCAAGATAATGGATGTAAAGCACAGCTAACTATAGCTAAAAGTATCCTAAAATTATAAAAGCCGTTTTTCTCTATTAACTTACATATTTAGCTAGAATAAAAGGTAAAAAAACATCAAGCCTTTGTGAAAAGATGATAGGATGCTACTGGTATAATAGATATTTAGCTGAGCACTGGAGAACCCTAAATCATTCACAGTTAATGCCAGTCACTAACAGCATGCATGACCTTGAACAATTCTTTTTTTCTTTTACAAAGGCAGATATAAACATTCTACTTAACCAGACAGGGGCATAGTGAGGGGACCTGTCAGGAATCAGCTGCAGAGAAGTGGGGAAACTTCCATTCCAGGGCCCAAAAGCCTAGTGAGGAGGCAGCTGCAGTGTGAGGACGGGCTTGGTGGCTGTCCTGTCAGTCTCCTCTCCTGTGTCCCCCTGGCACTCTGCGCTTCCAGCAAGAGGTGAACAGTAGCTGAGACCACTGCTCCCCAGGGTTCTGTGCTCTCAGGTGTGCCCCGCACATACAGGGCTGAGGAGTCCACAGCTCTGGGTGCACCTGGCAAGTGGTATAAGACCAAGGGAGAGGAGAGGCCTGAGGAGAGTGCTTTAGCTTGCAGGTGGTTCTGAGAGTTCAGTGGCAGCAGCCACCACAGTGCCCACCTGTGTGAGCGTGCTGGCTGTCCCCAAACTTGGTCCTCCGGCTCAGGATCTCGTAGGAGCAGTCCTCCCCACAGCAACCAGACATGCTGGGGGAAGAGTCATCAATTTCAAATTGCAGAGCTTCTCGGAAGAACTGGTAAGCGCCATGATTGTGTTTAAATACGGTTAACATCACTTTCTTCATCTGTGTGCTGTTGGCCATCAGCTGCAGGATCTGAATGAGGAACTTGCCCAGGCCTTTCCGCCGCACCTTGTTTTCCAACTGTACTTCGTAGCAGTATAGGACTTCATCCCCACACTCCACGTCAAACCGGAAGTGGGAAAAGGCGACCGGGATGGAACTGTCTTCCCAAGCAATGAGGTACCAGGCTCGGTCATCCATCATTTCTTCTCGTTTCTCTCGGTCCTTCCATCCCCACTCGCTCTGCTCATACATGGTCTGCATATTGGTTTTTGTCAGGTCGAAGGCCCAATCCACAGTGGCTGGCTCCAGTCCAGACACTCGCTTACATTCAATGGAGACAGTCAACCCATTTCTGTCTACTTCTTGAATACTGGGAACACCTCCAGAGGGTCTCCAAGCCTGTTGGCAGCGTCCACTTTGGCGCAGAAAGCATCCATGGCCGCTCGCTCCTCCAGCCGCTTCTGCTTCTCCTTTGCCTTGCTGGACTTTCTCCCCATGGTAACGGCGGCGGCAGCGACCCTCGACTGCTCCTTCCCGCACTTGCTGGCTGGGAGGCGGCAACGGCAGCGGCTGAGGCAGGCAGGGACAGCGGAGCAGCAGGCCGTGCTTGAACAATTTTTTTAACCTGATTGGGTCTCAGTTTTTCTGTGTGACACTGACCTTGTCTTTCACCAAACTTTAGACAGGCATCTGTGAGGCCTTGCTAGGTGTATTCCTTGCACCCCATTTTTGTCTGCCAAGCCCAGATACATCAAAAACCCAACTGAATCAGTTTAGTGCCTCTCAACCTCAATAATCTCCAGTCCTCAATATCTGATCAAATTCCTCGACCCTAACTATGATGTGTAAATTCTTGGCCTTCCATTTGCTAGAAGCTTATGAAATAAGTTTAGCAAGAATCCCCCTACTTTTAATAACCCCTCTCAGTAATTTTCCATCCCTAAATTCCTCTTTCTGCCCTTCGGTGATAAACTGGTAAGACTACTTGTCTCTTTGTGTTTGTAGTTGAGCTTATTCTCTCCTATTGTACCTGATTGAATAAAATGTGTCTTGCCATCTTTAAGAAAGTCTATTAAATGATTTCTCATCTATAAATGTATTTATTTACTCTATCTCTATCTCTCTATCTACATCTAGTGAAACCAGAGAGTCAGTTTATCTATAAATACATAACTTCCTCCCAAAATCTTGAAAACCTGCTAAATTTTAGTTCAGTAGAAGAAAAAAAAATGCCTTGCCATTCTCAAAAGCCAGACTACAGGATCATAATTTACCCCTTTTTAATACCTCTCTACAAACATGAAACACACTATTTTTTTTGTTTCGTTTTGTTTTGAGACAAGGTCCCACTATACAGCCCTGGCTGGTCGGGAAACATGCTATATAGACCAGGCTGGCCTTGAACTCAGAGATACATATATTTCTACCTTCCCAGTGCTGGGAATGGAATAAAGGAGTGCAGAATTATAACCCAGGAGGACTATTTATCTTGAATAATAATAGATACATTGAAATATTTGTGGGCATTTTCATTCCAGATTAAGTAAACATTTGGGGGAATCAACAAATTTTCCATTGGGTAGCTCCCTGTAATTGTTCTTTGTGCAATTGTTTATATGTGTATGGAGAAAATAAGATTATGAGTCTCTAATCAGTATTGGTTATTAGTCCTTCACAACAATACAATTTAGAAAGATGTGACAAGGGGCTGGAGAAATGGCTCAGTGCTTAAAAGTGTATACTACATTTGCAAAGGACTTGAATTCAGTTCCCAGAACCCACATCATGTGGCTCACAGCTGCCTGAACATCGGGTCCAGAGGAATCTGATGCCTCTGACTCCAC